TAAAGTTATTGTGTCTCGTTACTAATCACATATGATTAATTCTATGACTTATTTATGTGTTTGTCCTGAAAAAGAAGTCAAAGTTTAGTTTTGGGGTGAGTTTTTTACAAGGTTTGGAAAACTTTGCTGGAATAAACCGTATTTGCTCCGATCATGGACCACGTTGTTTGTAGAAGTCTTAATGTTTTGTCTATCGAATAAACATAGAAAAACTCCAAAAAGTTGCGCTCTCGCAAAAAGGGAGTGGTGACAAAACCTTGACGCGCATGCGCGTCACTCGGTCCCTCGCGGTCTGCAAGGCTTGACGCGCATGCGCGTCAAGGTGTCGTCAATGGGTTAAGTCCACTCGACTGAAAACTCGTCCAAATAACTCTTTCATCGTCATGATCGTGTATAGCCTTCTAGCTCAAGCAATTTTATGTCGCTCGCATTCACCGATGATGATGAACTTTTCGCATTCTTCGCCAGCTTGGCACCAACCGTTCCATCATGTAACTTGAGGGAATTTTGTGAACTGTGCCATCAGGAAATGTGACAGTCTCCCTAGTGATGTCGTGGGGAAAACTGATGGAATTAAGAGGAAATGTTGATCAAAATGGCGTTACCTTGAATGTTTCACTTCGTGTGTGGCATATTGGTGATGAAGCGCAGTAGCAATAAGCAGCTCCTTGTGTCATTAAAGCTATTGCCTCTGAAAATTTTTGACGAATGATAGGTCCGGTTCATTTTCAGTACAATATTGATGATATTAATACTGATGTGGTCCGGTAGACAAGTCTATGGGGTATCCTCCAAGGCGAGTCCGGAACTGATTCACCACCCCAAAGGGACGAAAGGCTTGGTTGTTACGTCTGGTGAGCGGTTATAGGACTGCGATTCGATCATTTGGAGGTGCATGCGTGGTAGTGCATCATTTTCCAATACACCATTTCTACCCAGGCACTTCTGCTTTTTGACAGAATCGGTGTGCCCAACAGTTTACTAACAATCGAGCACATCTAGTTGAAAAAAAATTTAGGATCAATGAGAGAACAGTGGATTTAGACACTCACCTTCCCGCTCATCTCCTTCTTTCTTCAGTAGACTGAGTCCTCTTCTGCCGGATTTGTCGTAGATCTCGCAAAAAACATCCTTCATAGGTCTCTAAACAAGGTTCGAATAAAGGCTAGCCTGCCTTCTTCCAACATTTTGTTCGTTACTATCGTTCCAATGTGATATGCTCTTTATTTGTTTCCATTCCGTTATTTAGGGTGCCACAACTCTCCGCCATGATCAGGTGGAAGCATAGACCTCCGATATTAGGCCATATTGGGAAGAGACTTGAAGATTGATTCCTTCACCTCCCAAACCTTAGTACAAGATACTGTATCCCATCTGGGCAGCTATACAGGCCGCCCACTTTTGAGGTAAAAAAACCGCAACTTGGGCGTCGAAGTCAGTCCTTTAAGCCTGCAGTCGTTTGATCCTTTTGACTTCCGATCCTTGGCTTCTCAGGGTCTCCATTTAGAACAAGGTCAGGAAAGCGTACTCGGTCGCTTTATCGGATCGTCCGGATTTAGTGATGAACAAATGAAGGACAAACTTTTTGGAGACAATCCCGCTCGACCGGCCTTCGTTTAGGAACGTATCAGCAATTTAACTGTACACGTGACCTATACACAGTTACTTGCGATAACCGTTCAATGTGAGTAATTTTATCCTTCCGACGAGTCTATTACCGATTAGCCGACCTCGGAGGGATGAAAGGGCTGGTTGGCTTGAGCGAATATCGATTTCGATTTCTTTCCTGCTCATGCATGTGTGACAGTATGCCATTTGGCTCGGAACCACCTTCCGAACCACAGTGGTAGATAACTGTGAAAGAGAAACTCACCTTGAATGATCCTATGAACCGCTCTCCTGTCTTTTTGAGACCTTCTTTGTCGCGTTTGAAAGTGTAGTACGAAGAGCAAGAAAAGTAATTTTCGGTAGGTATAGCCTGAACAATACCACTTTAGAGGGTATCCTCCTCTCATAAGCACACAAAGAATCGAGTTCACCTGATCTGTCGCCTTATCTGTGTAACAGCGGATGGATTCAGCAGACCAGAAGCAAGCTGTAAGCACGAACCACCACAAATGGTTTTCTGAACGGAAGAAATGCATTTTACATAAGATTTTCTATAAATATGCTATCCATCAAGAAGAATGAGTACTATGTGGCATTAAAGTGAAACGCAGCTGCCACGCGGTCTGCCAGTGAAGAAAAAACCGAATAAAAGAATAATGAAGTGACCCCCGTCTCCCTTGCGTCCCGTTCAAGGCAAGGTAGGAGAAATGTATACAGCTCCGATTTGCTTATCAACAGATGCCGACTTTGTTCTGACGCCAACGGCTTTAACACCATGATGATGCATAGAAGAACAGGCTGAACAGCTCCACATATACATTTGGTGTGACGGTTTGTGGGTCTGTCCGTGTCCAAAACTTTGTGTTTAAAGGTAGTGATATGGAAAACTCAGCTCTATCTCACATTTCCTTCGTAGATGTAAAGCAGTAAATTGGTGTGTAGGGTAATGGAGTAGAATGAGTACTTCAGAGTGGAGTGAGTGATGGAGAGTGAGGTGGCACCTCAAAACTGTGATTTTGATCTGTACTGCCATCTTGCTATGTATGTGATATCGGTTACCGCTCATTTGTACTCTACTCTAGCCCTAAGCGTTGGATGAGAGCGATGCCCCTTTCCCCCCTCCCTACTACATTTTTTACCCACTTTGTGAACGTAATGAATAAGGCCCGACATAAGCCGGGCGACGCGACGCCTATGAATTCCTACGAGAAGTTATCACGCCAATTGACCGCACCTATAATGATTCTCAGAAATACAATCGAGCGAAATCAGACTTGAAATGAATTTGTCGAAAACGAAGGGGATGCACAACCAGTTCAGTCCTACAGCGACTGTCGAAATAAATGGCGGAACTATCGAGGAAGTAAAAAGCTTCAAGTACCTCGGACACCAGCTCAGCTTCTTGAAAGACAGCGCCGGAATGAACCTTTCCGATGGCTTCTCCGCGACCGTCGACGATTGACCCCGTGCCCTCCTCGGAGCTGAAGAACTTGGTGTTCTTCACGTTCAGCCGGAGTCCATTCTCCGCCAATACCCATGCCATTTCTGGAGCTTGTCCTGGAGTTCGTCCTTATTCTCCGCTATCAGAGCGATGTCGTCAGCGTAGAGGATGGTCTTAAGTGGTCCATCCGTGAGTTCTTCTGTGATGAAGTCCATGGTGAGCAGGAAGAGGAACTGGCTCAGAGCTGATCTTTGGTGTACCCCAACCGTGCCATCTATTGCTCCGGTTTGGCCGTGTGGGGTGCGTATTGTTGTGGTGGAGCTATCGTACATGTCCTTCACCAGAGAGATCNAGTGTTCTGGAACCTTTCGTATTCGGAGCGTTCTCTAGAGGGCTTGTCGCGGGAGACGGTGGAATCCTTATCCAGATCGAGAAAAGCTCTGTGGCAGGGTCTACGCTTTTCTCGATACTTCTCCATAACTTGTCTAGCTATGAAGATGGCATCCGTTGTAGACCTTTCAGGCATGAAGCCGAACTGCTCCTGCGATACTGGAACCAATTCTCTCAATCTTGAGTCGATCAGCAGCTCGTACAGTTTCCTCGTGTGAGCATTCAACCTGATCCTCCGGTAGTTGGAACATTGCATCGCTTCCCTTTCTGCTTGAAGATAGGAACGATAGAACTCCTCCTCCACGCATCTGGGATTCTTCCTTAGACAGTGTTGTGTCCACAGTGTTGAGAAAACTGTGAGCCACTTTATCCGGTGCTCCCTAGCGCCTTCCATGCCTCGATCGGTACTCCATCCGAGCCAGTTGCCTTCCCAACCTTCATCTTTCCCACTGCTCTACGCACCTCATTCTCTGTCCAGAGATTGATGGGACCGGCGGTTGCCTCTAATTGGCAGCTGTTCTTAGGAGCAGGTTCTTCGTGAAGGTGCCCGTCGAAGTACTGCTTCCACCTACGCCTGACCTCGCTGGGCCTCCTCAGGATTGCCCCTCGCTGTTCCTCACGGACTTCACTACGCCGCTGTTCTGAGTGACGGTGACGCGCTTTCGCCAGACGGAAGACAAACTTCTCTCCCTTTCGACTGTCGAGTTTCTCATACAAGGTGTCCAATTCCGTGTTCTCTGCCTTCGCGACAGCAACCTTGGCGAGCCTCTTGCAAGTTCCGAAGGCAGCTAGGTTCTCCTGAGCTAGTGTCCTTGTCAGCGCTTGTAGGCCGATTTCTCCTGCCTCACAACTCGTTAGACTTCTTCGTTCCAGAACCATGTTTCCTTGTCCCCTCGGAAAACACCTCGAGTTTCCCCCAGCGTTTCCTTTGCACATCGCAGGATGACCTTCACAGCGTTGCTCCAGGTCTGCTGTATCGGCCCCTCGGGATTCGGAAGTCCAGTTTCCACCATCGGATCCTCCGTTCCCTTTCTTGTCCTCGATTCCTTGGGAAGATCTATGGCTATGTCTGCTAGTAGAGGCCTGCTCTGTGGAGCCAGATCTTCTCCAGGCAGTACCTTGATGCCCTTTACAGTTTTGAGGGAAGATCTTCTTATAGCACATGATCTATTTCCGTTTCTTTCACTCCACTACTGTAATTTACCTTCTAAGACCTCCCTTTCACGAAGAAGGTGCTGCAGACAGCCAAGTCGTGGGCCAAGGTCAGGGCAAGGACTCCCTCTCCTTCTCCGTTTCTGACTCCTACTCCTCTACCTCCATGCATCCTTTCCAGTCTCCTCCTTTCACTGCCAAAGTGCCCATTCAGATTACACTCTATGGTGAGGTAGTCCTCTCAGGAACTGATCGGATAGGCTCGTCAAGGCTCAGATAGATTTCATCCTTTCGAAGACGAGGCAGCCGGCTTGAGGCGCGTACCCTGATATTATTGTCCAGTATCCCTCCTCGCGTCTATTCTCTCATGATTCGACGGCTGATCCTGTTGACGGTGGAGACAGATTCTTTCAAGGATTCCGCCTCTGCTATGGCCACACCCATTTCGTTCGGCGTCTTCTCCGTTGTAGACGAGTTTGACACCCTCTCCAAGTTCTCTGGCCTTTGCTCTCTTCCAACGGCTCTCCTGAAGGCATAGGACCCGGATGTTCCTGCTCCTCATGGGATCAGCGACCTGCCGGGACTTCCTAGTAGGCGATCCTACATTTAGAGTCCCCATTGAAACTAACTTCTTTGGGCAAGGTCGTTCACTCCTCGGTAGCCCTCGCATACTGTCCACAGAACTCGGACGGGGGTCCTGTGCGCCACTTCCGGGTGACGCCTTAGATTTATCACGGATACTTTTGAGACTTCAGACATGTTTTGTTGTGACTGGGTTTCTTCATGGGCCGGCCTGTCAACCTGGGCCTGGCGCTGGTATCGATACCATTTTTGCATTTTTTGCAAGGCATGGAGTTGCCTTGGCAGGGATCTACTCGCACTCCCTCTAGGTGCATACGTGAGCCTACACTCTTATCCACTCGGCTATCCCTGCCTTTCCGCAGTACTCTACTCGATTGACCTACCCACCAAGTCACTACCTTATATATAAGAAGGAAGTGTAGAATAAAGCTGAGTTTTCCATATCACTATCATTATCGTAATCATGAAGTCATATCATAATCATTCGCGGACGGACAGACCGACAAACCGACATACCGACATACCGACATGCCGACAAACTGACAAACCGACAAACCAAGTAACTGCTTTATAACAGAGAGAGAAGAGAGAATCCAGTTACTCAACCCTTAGGAGGCTGGTCGACGTGGGTGAATATTGAATAGGGGCCCTGCTTGATCCTTATTCGAGGCGGCGCGCTGCCCTAGCTTAGCCCATTTACGACATCACGTTGTTGCGGTTCCCCTCTTTTGAAAGCTAAACTCTTAAACGGTTGTAGTCTTGGAACGCCAGCGCCACGGTCTTCGAAAATACTCATGACCTACTACCGTTGTTGGAAGTAATCGGTCTCAGTTGTCAGATAATTACCGCAGTAGAGTCCAGCCCAGTGTTAGTGAGCTAACGGTGAACAATATGATGATTTCGTCACTTAGAGGAAATGGATCTTGCATCATCCACCCCTCATCTAATTTATTTGAGCAGTGGCGTAGCTAAGCCATGTATGTAGGGCAGTATGGAATAAATTTGTAATCCTGAAACGTACTCTTCGAAATCATAGGCAACGGCAGCATCTTCCTTTCGCACTGTTACAAGAGAGGCGTGATTCAGATACTTGGCAGCTAAACCAATGAGGGCAAACACCCTCCTTGTGACGATGATGACGCTAAATGAACTACACCGGACTACTTGCTGCTATAGCTGTTTACCATCTGAAATAGTGTTATGGTGGATCACTGGATAACAAAGCAAACTTTCTATTTTTATTCCGCACGGCCTTCAAGTGTGTTGTTGCTAGTCTTTGAAATTTTCACACCCGGAACTGTGCGGTGCAGATTCAATAGAACAAGCACTTGAGGTTGTGAAAACCCATAGCCCACTAGATTGAGATCAAATGGGAACAAGTGGAGATGACTTACTCCAGCATCTCAGCTTAGGGGCGCGCTTCGGGCCGTGCGGCCGTTGAGACCAGGTCACGCCGCAGCCGTCGCACGCGGCGTGTTAGCCCGCGATCTTTGACGCTTTGACGATCAAACGTCGCTTTTGTCAGCTCGGCATACGAACTGCGCTCGGTTCACGGCAGTCAGCTTAAAGGCACAGCTCACGATAATTACCCCTTTAGCCGAAAAGCGGGAGTATAGGTTGGGAACAGTTCATTGGTAGTGAAGAAAGGGAGGAAATTCGCTGATTCCAAGAAATATAAGGCTCACCAAAAGTAGGGAAAATAGAGGTTGGACGAGACTACCATGACGGAAATGACGTGGAAGGGGTATTCGGACGAGATTTCGGTTGTTGCGATTTCGCAAAGAGCTGGCTACATCAAACCAGAACTGTGCAGAACTGACTTCCTACACGGGCTCCTTCGTGATCTGTGCAGCCTCTGCAATGCGGGTAAAATACACACGAGCCAATCTTTGAGCCTTTAATAACGCCCTAACTAGGTTGTTTTCCGACATGATAGTGCCAGATATGCAAATTAATCCTATGGAGGATTCCCAGAAACCATTATTATCGTGAACTGTGCCTTCAAGGTGAAGATAACAAAGACTAGCGCAAATCATTCGCTCTTACATCTTTCCGATTTATTTCTCAACCTTCAGCTTTATCACCAGCAATATCTGCCTTCACCACCCGGTGCATAACGACCCAGTTCCCGCAATGGGTAAGCTGACGGCGCTCAGGGCATGCGCTTCGGCTAGTGAGCTCTAGTTCCACATTCCATCTGCCTATTCTTAATGTGCGGGAAAATACTGGATAAGGAAATGGAGCCTTTAATTTATAGTTTTTACCGTCAAAAACGAGACGAGCTACTTGTAACAGTCTAAAATGAAAAATTCGCAAATGGAAGAATCAAAGCTTATGACTGGTGCCCGCCCACAAAGATAGGCTTAGGCTAGAAGTGCAAGACGGCCGCATTTTTAACAGCTCTTGCTCCTTCCATTCATGCTTCAGGGATGGGCGTGATCTCGGCTCACCTGATTGAAAAAGGATAGACAGCAAGGGATTACCTCAAGGGGGAACAGAGCGCCGGTCCCTTTTTCTCTCTGTCAATGATTTTCACGGAACACGAGCAGTGCAACGTACGGTGCAGTGCCCTTTACCATAGTCGGTGGGCACTAGCTCATACGGCTCCGGCGTAAGCGAGACGGCGACAGTCGCCCATTGCAGAAGTCACCTCGATTAGCTCAATGTCAGCTAAAGAGAGGATAATATGAACTAGTGCAAATCATTCGGCCCACTGACACGTGGGGGTGCTCTAATGCCGTCTCGACTTAGCAGTGGAATGCGAGGCGGGCGAAGTGGGCGGGATGACCTCGTTTCACGGGCGCCTGAGACGACGGCTTTTCATCCTGCTTGGACACACATTTGCGTAAATATACTAAAGACGGGTGCTCCTCCACATCTAAAAAAAGTTTAGATAACAGCATGGAGTTGTACGAACCGCTTAATTTACAGTAATAGCTGTAGATTAATAAAGAATGTCTATTTTGTCCAGAAGCGGATGGTCTCTTTGTTCTCTATATTGCAAGCGTCCCATGCTGCTTATCCCCTGTTCCACTTGCGTCCCGATGATGACGTCCGCATTTGCCCCTATCCAAGCCGATGTAGTTCAGCAGTCCCCTTCGCTCGATGGGCAGAAACAAAGAACTATTCGCATACTGTGTTCGTTCTACGTCTAGAGGGTGTTCAAAGAAACGTGCGATAGTCCCAAATATTCGACATGCTGTACGCGTTAGTGCTGATAGCTATGGCATATAAGCCATTAAGAAGGTGAGGGCGAGCGGGGTCTCGGTAATGTAAGGGATAGAGCACGGGGAATGGAAAGCACAAGTACGAGTTCGAGTTCCGTCCGAGATTGAAGATTTTGTCCATATATCGCCAACCTTGTGACTCCCCAATTAGTTATACTGCTTGAAAAATTAACGAACCAGTAGCAATAGCAGGCAGAAGCAGTCACGGCAGCAAAGATAAGCTATTCCTGCCTCCAATGGATATCGTCAGCGTGGTTGTTCTCAAAGAGGTCATCGTAATCAACAAAGCGTCGTTGTGACCTCGAGAGAGAAAATGATTTTTCTTCAGTATCCAACCGTCTTTTGCGTTCCATGCGGACAGAAGGAGCCTACAATGGAAAAGAACACCCTAGCAGCAAGGACAACAAGGAAGGAAAGAGGAGGGCATCGCAACCTTTAGGCCACAGACAAGACAACAAATTGGTAAGGATAAGTTATTCTTGGAAAACAAATGCGATCGCCTTGCAGCTACTCGGAGATTCTCAGTCAAGGTATGACCGGGGAAAAGATTGTTCTTGCAAGGCTACGTTTGCCATCAACATGGGGATCTTCTTTCTGACACGACTACCGTTATGCCAATACTGAACTGTTAGGTTTTACCACGATTGCTCATCTGGCCACACTTTTCTGTGTGAAGGAACGGATTGAGAACTTTGAACCAGCAACATTTTTGTATGTCACGCAAATGCTCATATAAAACTTGATGAAGCACCGCCGATGATTATGTGAGCACTTTAATTTTATTTAGACTCATATGGTATCAAATAATCTGTTTCAGCAGAATAGAATGTTTGTATGAAAAATTCAGTATAACCACGACGCGGAGCAGTGCTTTTGAGCGGATTGATCAAGGAGCGCCCTTCTTGACATTCTTCTGATTGATAGTCTGTTTCTGAAATTTCCAAATCATTGGTTAGGCAAAGTTGCGTTCGAATGGGTTTTCATGAAGCCTATCCTACTATAGACTGTCACTGTCACTGCTGGCTCAGCTCAGCTTATTTTATATTGATCTTAGTCGGGCTCTTCTGTAGTTGTACACCTGTCCTCAGTTTCCTTTATTGGCGCACTCAGTTGAGTGTATAAATAAATAAATAAATAAATAAATAAATATACGATTCGCTAAGTGTGTCTGTTGGTTTGCCTGTGTGTTTGTGTGTGTGTGTGTCGACGTGTGTGTCTGACCGGAAATACATAACTCCTGTTTCCGTGGACCTAGAGCATTCAAGTTTGGTGGGAGAGCGGGGGGCAGGATAGAAATACATATGGGAAGTAGCAAGACCAGATTCCGCTCACAGGGGTGGAGCGCGCGTGCGAGAGAAACTTTTGAGCGTAAGTTTATAGCATCTACTTTTCGCATTAACACTGGTAATGAGTGATGTAGGATATGACGTGATTGTAGGTAATCGGCGACAGGATCCGATGACGATTGATAAGAGAAGATAAGGGGCTTAGGAGAGCAAGAGCCACCTACCTATCAAAATCCCAACCCTTCGGTATTTACGATGTAGCTTAGGCTGTTCAGTATGTTTCATCCGATAAGATGGGATGGTAGAGTAGGGTGACAAAAGTAAGTGGTAAGTGCAGTGATAGGGACCCGTTAGAGGCATTACGATAAGCAAATGAGAATTGCGTTCGTTTCTTGCGATTAGATAACGACCGCTACCCAGCAAGGTTCGTATAATGATAAAGGATCCTCTTTGATCGATAACATTTGTGACGATATTTAACCGACCGCCGGTAATGTGGAATTCCCAACTAATGATGTCTTCGTAATGAGAAGGGTCCATCGATAACGAGATGTGACAGTGGTGCTATCGCCACTCGAAACATTTGCGAGTACTGTC